CCACAGACACAGGGGAAATTCAGAGAATCATTAGATCTTACTACAAAAGCCTATATGCCACAAAATTGGAAAATGTAAAGGAAATGGACACTTTTTTAGATAAATACCATATACCAAAGTTAAACCAGGACCAGGTGAACAATCTAAATAGACCTGTTAGTCACGAAGAATTAGAAGAGGTTATCAAAAACCTCCCTACCAAAAAAAGCCCAGGACCAGATGGTTTCAATGCAGAATTCTACCAGAACTTCCAAGAAGACCTAATACCTATACTCCTTAATGTATTTCACAATATAGAAACAGAAGAGGCATTGCCAAATTCCTTTTATGAAGCTACAGTTACTCTGATACCAAAACCGCACAAAGACTCAACAAAGAAAGAGAATTATAAACCAATCTCACTCTTGAACATCGATGCAAAAATCCTCAACAAAATACTGGCAAACCGAATCCAAGAACACATCAGAAAAATTATCCATTATGATCAAGTAGGCTTCATCCCAGGGATGCAGGGCTGGTTCAACATACGAAAATCTATCAATGTAATCCATCATATAAATAAACTGAAAGAAAAAAATCATATGATCATTTCATTAGATGCTGAAAAAGCATTTGACAAAATTCAGCATCCCTTTATGATAAAAAGTATTGGAGAGATTAGGGATACAAGGGTCATACCTAAATATAATAAAAGCTATATACAGCAAGCTGACAGCTAACATCAAATTAAATGGAGAGAAACTCAAAGCCATCCCACTAAACTCAGGAACACGACAAGGCTGTCCACTCTCGCCATACCTCTTCAATATGGTGCTTGAAGTTCTAGCAAAAACAATAAGACAACATAAGGGGATCAAGGGGATTCGAATTGGAAAGGAAGAAGTGAAACTGTCGTTATTTGCAGATGATATGATAGTGTACATAAGCGACCCCCAAAACTCCACCAAAGAACTTTTACAGCTGATAAACACCTTTAGTAATGTGGCAGGATACAAGATCAACTCCAAAAAAATCAGTCGCCCTCTTATACACAAAGGATATGGAAGCAGAGAGGGAAATCAGAGAAGCTTCACCTTTCACAATAGACACAAACAGCATAAAATATCTTGGGGTAACTCTAACCAAGGAAGTGAAAGATCTATTTGACAAGAACTTTAAAGCATTGAAGAAAGAAACTGAGGAGTATACCAAAAAATGGAAAGACCTCCCTTGCATTGGGAGGATCAACATAGTAAAAATGGCAATGCTACCAAAGGCAATTTATAGATTCAATGCAATCCCCATCAAGGGCACATCAAAATTCTTCACAGATCTTGAGAGGACAATAATCAACTTTATATGGAAAAACAAAAAACCCAGGATAGCCAAAACAATCCTATACAATAAAGGATTGTCTGGAGGCATTACCGTCCCTGACTTCAAACTCTATTACAGAGCTACAGTGATGAAAACAGTATGGTACTGGCATAAAAACAGAGAAGTCGACCAATGGAATCGTATAGAAGACCCGAATTTTAACCCACAAACCTATGAACACCTCATTTTTGATAAAAGAGCCAAAAGTATATAATGGAAGAAAGAAAGCATCTTCAACAAATGGTGCTGGCATAACTGGATGTCAACCTGTAGAAGAATGAAAATAGACCCATATCTATCACCATGCACAAAACTCAAGTCCAGATGGATTAAAGACCTCACTATCAGTCAGAACACATTGAAGCTAATAGAAGAGAAAGTGGGAAGTACCCTACAACAGATGGGCACAGGCGATCGCTTCCTATGTGTAACCCCAACAGCACAGACATTAAGGGCAACATTGAATAAATGGGACCTACTAAAACTGAGAAGCTTCTGTAAAGCAAAGGACACTGTCAGCAAGACAAAAAAAGCAACCTACTGACTGGGAGAAGATCTTCACCAACCCTGCAACAGACAAAGGTCTGATCTCCAAAATATATAGAGAACTCAGGAAACAAGACTTTAAAATGCTAATTAACCCAATTAAAAAATGGGGCACTGAACTGAACAGAGAATTCTCAGCAGAGGAAGTTCAAATGGCCAAAAGACACTTAAGGTCATGCTCAACTTCCTTAGCGATCAGGGAAATGAAATCAAAACAACTTTGAGATAACATCTTACACCTGTCAGAATGGCTAAAATAAAAAACTCCAATGATAGCCTTTGCTGGAGAGGCTGTGGAGGAAGGGGCACCCTCATCCATTGCTGGCGGGAATGCAATCTTGTGCAACCACTTTGGAAATCTGTGTTTCGGTTTCTCAGGAAATTCGGGACCAACCTACCCCTGGACCCAGCAATACCATTCCTGGGAATATACCCAAGAGATGCCCTATCATATGACAAGAGCATTTGTTCAACCATGTTCATAGCAGTATTATTTGTAATAGCCAGAACCTGGAAACAACCTAGATGCCCCTCAATGGAAGAATGGATGAAGAAAGTGTGGAATATCTACACATTAGAGTACTACGCTGCGGTAAAAAACAATGACTTCTCGAATTTTGCAAGCAAATGGATGGAAATATAAAACATTATTCTGAGTGAGGTAACCCAGACCCAAAAAGATGAATATGGGATGTACTCACTCATAATTGGTTTCTAGCCATAAATAAGGGTCACGGAGTCTACAATTGGTGATCCTAAAGAAGCTAAGTAAGAAGTTGAACCAAAGGAAAAACATATAGTTATCATCTTGGCTATGGGAAGTAGACAAAATTGCTGGGGAGAAAATTGGGATCTTGGGGGTGGGGTGGGATGGGGATAAGGGGAGATGGGGAGAGAAAAGGGAGAAGGGGAGGATGGGGGGGAACTTGGGGGAAAAGGAAGATTGGGATAAAGGAAGGTAGGATAGGGGAGCACGGAAGCACAATTCTTAGTTAAGGGAGCCACCTTTGGGTTGGCAAGAGACTTGAACCTAGAGTGGCTCCCAGGAGTACAAGCCGAGGTCCCCAGTTAGTTCCTTGGGCAGCTGAGGAGAGGGAACCGGAAATGACCCTAGCCTATAGCAATACTGACGAATATCTTGGATATCATCATAGAACCTTCATCTGGTGATGGGTGGAGATAGAGACAGAGACCCACACTGGAGCACTGGACTGAGCTCCCAAGGTCCCAATGAGGAGCAGAAGGAGGGAAAACATGAGCAAAGAAGTCGGGACCACGAGGGGTGCACCCACCCACTGAGACATTGGAGCTGATCTACTGGGAGCTCACCAAGGCCAGCTGGACTGTGACTGAAAAAGCATGGGTTAAAACAGGACTCTCTGAACATGGCGAACAATGAGGGCTGATGAGAAGCCAAGGACAAAGGCACGGGGTTTTGATCCTACTTAATGTGCTGGCTTTGTGGGAGCCTAGCCAGTTTGGATGTTCACCTTCCTAGATATGGACAGAGGGGGGAGGACCTAGGACTTACCACAGTGCAGGGAACCCTGACTGCTCTTTGGACTGTTGAGGGAGGAGGAGAGGAGTGGGAGGAGGGGGAGAAGGATGGGAGGAGGGGGAGAAGGATGGGAGGAGGGGGAGGGAAATGGGAGGCTGGGAGGAGGTGGAAACTTGTTTTTTTTCTTCCTTTTCTCAATAAAAAAAAAGAGATAGTGATATATGGGCTTTCTACTTGGTTAATATAGTAGGCACTTGCATTTCATGTAATTGTGTCTAGTCTAAGATACATACTTCCACATGTGGCTTTTGTCCCACATAAAAACTGATAAATCCTGTGTCATTTCAATTTTATTTATTTGCATTGAGTACTGATATACGCATATATACTTATATACTGGTATATATGGATATGCATAGGATGCTCAATTAAACTGCACAAATGCATATTTATAGATGTGAGCACTTGAATTATTTTTAAAAGACTTGATGAATGTGTGCTGCCTTATATGGGTAGGCTAAAGATCTTCAAACTTATTAAAATGGTATTTGTGGTCTATTAAGTGTTTTTAAAATTTTTTAATGTTATTTCTTTATTTAAAAACCATTCGTTGAAATTTAAGGACTAATGTTTCACAAAACTAAAATTTAATGTTTATACACATAGATTTTGATAAGGATTTTCTTCCAGAACACGATATAATGAAAAAAACTGATTAGAATTTATTTCAATTAAGTAATGGTCATGGGAAAAATAAAAATTACATGGCATACAATACTTTATGTTAATCAAAATTCCTCTTAGCAATATATCTTAAAAATACTTATTAAAGTAAATTATCTCCAAAAGTATTCTTAACATATAAATAAAAATTCTAATAAATGCTCTTACTGAGCTGTAATACACGTAAAAGAGACAGATTTCGTTTCAAAGATCTTACTTTTAAATTTTCCTTTTCATGATTAGGATTTTGGGAGGGAGATAGAATCACAGCAGTCAGTCACATTGTAAACCTAAATATTTCTAAGTTCTTACCTCTTCCAATTAAAACTGTAGGAAAAACATTATTTTAAAACCAGCTGTCAATAACTTCTCACCCTGCCGAAAGTCTCATCCCTGCTCAGGCAAAGTTCTGTGTCTTTAAAAATAAAGATTTCTGTTTAATATTGGCTCATACTTTTAAGAGGATAAATTTGCAATTAGCAGTTGCTTAGAGTTACGAAAATATAACCAAATGGTGTAACTATAGAACTAAAAGGTTACAGATCTAAATCAAAGCTACAAAAATATTTTACAACGAAGAATCCACCTTCAGTTACAGCTATGTGCATCTATGGACTGTCTACAGCTACTTGGGCTTTTATATCCTGTACATAGTACCAAAGTAGTTTACAAGAAAGTGCAAGTTATAATTACCAAATTAAACCCAAATTCTTTTCTGCGCTTAGTGTAACTTTCATTTGAAGGGAAAAGCAACAACTCCAAAGTCTGTTTAGCTAAGCTTGCAACAGGGCAGGGCTGAGAGCTCTGACCTTTAGGGGTAGGTCCTGCTCCAACTGGAAGGAGTGGCTAAGCCTCTGATTACAGAGAGAGGGTTGGACCTATAAGGGCGGGGTGTCTGTGCTCTCTGGCTTTAGGGCCTCCAAAGAACGTGGAGGGGAGTGATCTGAAGTGGACTGAGAGCACTGTAAGATTAGGAGCCCTGAGCCTCAGCTCAGACCCTGATTCCTGTGAATTTCACTTAGATACCAACCATGTTCGCTGCTGCTGGCTCCCTGGTGGCCGCCATCTGGGCAGCGCTCCATCTCCGGACTCTCTTGCTGGCTGTTGTCACCTTTCTGTTCCTGGCTGACTACTTCAAAAGCCGGCGCCCCAAGAACTACCCGCCCGGTCCGCAACGCCTGCCCTTCATAGGCAACATACTGCAGTTGGACACGGAAAAGCCGCACCTGGGGATCCAGCAGGTAGGAAGGTACAAGATTGTCTGGCTGTGAGCTGACCTAATCCTGAGCTAGTGGATCTGGCACTTCCTGGAACTAGGAGAGCAGGGGCAGGCAGGCAGGGTTCCAAGGTTCCTGTTCCTCATGGCTAAGCTCAGGACACATAGTTAGATTCTAAACATGCACGTTTAAGTAATATGCAGCTAAGCAGCACAGTTGCGGCGGATCTCAGTGAGTTTGAGGCCAGCCTGGTATACAGCACAGAGTTCCAGCACAGCCATGGCTACACAGAGAAGCCCTGTCTTAGGGTGAGGTATGGAGGGAAGGACTGAGGGACAAAGGGACAGATGGACAGAAGGGGGGGAGAGAGACGGGGGGGGGAGAGAATATTTGGAGAATTTATTATCCTTCTATGACATACTTCTTAGGTTATGGTTCCATTTAGGTTAGAGAAAACAAAACACTGTGTGATTTGAATTCATTAGATAGTCCAGGTCTGTATTTAATAGCAAATGATAATAGAGACAGATATGTCCTGCTGCTTTAAGAATTGAGTGTACTTGTTCTCCCTCCTTCTGCTCCTCATTGGGACCTTGGAAGCTCAGTCCAGTGCTCCTGTGTGGGTCTCTGTCTCTATTTCTATCCATGACCAGATGAAGATTCTATGATGATATGCAAGATATTCGTCAGTATTGCTCTAGGATAGGGTCATTTCAGGTTCCCAATCCTCAGCTGCCCAAGGAACTAACTGGAAACCTCATCTTGGGCACCTGGGAGCCCCTCTAGGGTCAAATCTCTTGCCCACCCTAAAGTGGCTCCCTTAACAAAGAATTGTGGTTCCGTGCTCCCCTATCCACCTTTCCTTTATCCCAATTCTCCTGTTTCCCCAGGTCTCCCCTCCTTCCCTTCTACCTTTTCTCTCCCCAACTCCCCTTACCCCCATCCCACCCCACCCCCAAGATCCCATTTTCTCCCCGGCAATTTGGTCTACTTCCCTTAGCCAAGAGGATAACTATATGTTTTTCCTTGGGTTCACCTTCTTACTTAGCTTCTTTAGGTTCACCTATTGTAGACTCCGTGGCCCTTATTTATGGCTAGAAACCAATTATGAGTGAGTACATCCCATATTCATCTTTTTGGGTCTGGGACACCTGACTCAGGATAGTGTTTTCTATTTCCATCCATTTGCATGCAAAATTCGAGAAGTCATTGTTTTTTACCGCAGCGTAGTACTCTAGCGTGTATATATTCCATACTTTCTTCATCCATTCTTCCATTGAAGGTCATCAAGGTTGTTTCCAGGTTCTGGCTATTACAAATAATACTGCTATGAACATAGTTGAACAAATGCTTTTGTCATATGATAGAGCATCTCTTGGGTATATTCCCAAGAGTGGTATTGCTGGGTCCAGGGGTAAGTTGAACGGACCACGAGGCGTGCACCCACCCACTGAGACAGTGGAGCTGATCTACAGGGAACTCACCAAGGCCAGCTGGACTGTGACCGAAAAAGCAGGGGATAAAACCGGACTCTCTGAACATGGCGAACAATGAGGGCTGATGAGACACCAAGGACAATGGCACGGGGTTTTGATCCTACGCAATGTGCTGGCTTTGTGGGAGCCTAGCCAGTTTGGATGTTCACCTTCCTAGATATGGACGGAGGGGGGAGGACCTAGGACTTACCACAGGGCAGGGAACCCAGACTGCTCTGTGGACTGTTGAGGGAGGAGGAGAGGAGTGGGGGGGAGGAGGAGAAGGGTGGGAGGAGGGGGAGAAGGGTGGGAGGAGGGGGAGGGAAATGGGAGGCTGGGAGGAGGTGGAAACTTGTTTTTTGTTTATGTTTTTTTTCTTCTTTTCTCAATAAAAAAAATTAAAAAAAAAAAAGAATTGAGTGTAAAGTCCAGGTCTCAGCTTAGTTGATTAAAGTGCTGCTCAAGAAGAAAAAAAATGAGGTGGAGGGTGGTGGAGGGACATCTTCTACTCCTCTTGACTGAAGTTTGGTTTAGCTGTTAGATCTCTCTTACTGAGCCTTAGTTTTTACACATTCTTACTGACTGCTCACCTACTGATGTTATCAGTTACTAAGAAAGCCACAAGCAAGTGTCCAGGTCCCCTGGGAGAGTTTCTCCACTGTCCCTGCAGTTCTGGAAGCTCTCCCCCATTAAACTGGGAAGTTTGTTTTGTGTAAACAGTAACATTTAAGATTGGCAGGTGCCATTTGATGACTTAACCATGTGGTTTTGTAATGTCCCTCCTTATCCAGAGTAAATTTGTTTTTCCTGAATTTTCTCTAATCTCTTACATGCTGCAACCTCCCCTTCAGTAAGTATGTGAAGGGCGTTTGCTTTTTAGTTCTTTTATTTTTATCTACACATAATACTAAAATTACATCCATCTGGACTGCATATACTTGGGAAATTTATTATTCAAGTCTCATCATTAATTGGGAGAGATAGAACATGTCTGTTTACAATTGACATGTAAGCATTGAAACTCAATGTTTTATTGTTTTGTGGTTTGTCTATTTGCTCTGCTTTCATTCTTTCATTTTTGGTTTCCTATCCTGCCACACGGGTTTCTTGGACACTCTCCAAGTAGATGCCTTTTTATTCATCTTCTCTCTCTTTACATCTCTACTATTGTCCTCCCAGCATCTGTTCTGTTACTCAATCCACACACGCAGCTCATGAGAGTTTGCTAACAGCATTTTCCATGTGTAGTGCAGCAACTACAAACATGGGGGAGCCCTCTCCCCTGTATGATGCACTGCCCCAGGTGCTGTCCCCAATCACTGAGACCCACATCCCACACTGCCCTGCTCTACAGTGTCAGTACAGCTGGAACTCAAAGGCAAAGGAGTCCGTTGTCTTTGCCCCTTACTCACCCTCCCATAGCTGTCTTTTTTCTGACCTTTCAAGTTCATCACTTCCTTTCTGACCTCAAGCACATTCTTCTTCCGACCTTCAGAGGAGACTGTAGCAGAAGGAAACCTCTTAGCTGTTCCCCTCCTCAGAATGCCTTTCCCTTCCTTCCCACACTGTCTTTCCCCTGTTGTAGACAACTAGGTTGATGATCGGAGGCACTTGCATTTTTAGATGTTCTCCTACTCCTTACTAGCCTTTGTGGTTTCCCTATAAGTATTAAAGAATTTTGTTTTGTTTTGTTTGTTGTTTGTTTGTTGTTGTTGTTGTTTTTTGTCTCACTCCTTTCAAGATTCAGTTTCCATATTGATTGTGGTGGTTTTGCACTATTTGGGGCTTTATGCTGTTGGGATCTACATGGCAGGCTTACATTTTGCTAGACTAGGAAGTTTCCATCATTTTCCAAGTGTTTTCTCATCTACACGTATTCCTGTTTTCAGGACATTGGTGCACAGCCATGACATCTATGGTGCTGGGTCTTGCTGTTTGCCATCGGCTTTCTCTGTGCTGTGCATGGGAGAGCTGCCTCTCCCCTCTGCACTGCTTCTCTGCCAAGCTCTGCTGTGCAGATCTCCACAGAGGCCATGGCAGCTTTCTCTCCTCAAATCGATGCCTATTCTGCTTATCTTTCTTTTCTCTGTTAAGATTTCCCACTATTTGGAATAATTTGATAATAGCCACTTTGAAATATTTATTTCTTCCCCTCTTTCCAACATCTGTGCCATCTCAACAAACCTCAGGTTCTCTTGGGTCTTAGTGAATGAACTAAGCAATGTCAGACTGGACATTGTGTGTCGTGTGCTGTAAACTGACGCACACACTAACGCCATGCTCTACTTGTCCAGGTAGCTTTAAGGCTCCAGGGCCTCACTTTTGTGAGTGATGACTCAAATGGAAATTTCAGCGTTTGCATTGTGAGTCAGAATAACCCCAGTGTGTGCTTGACACCTCTGACTCCTCAACTCAGCAGCATGAGCTGGCATGAAGGAAGATGTCTGCAAGTTCAGGGCCCCATCAGTATAGTGCAGCTGCAACTCACTACAGGAGGACGAACACCAGTGATCTTCCAGTAATTGTCCCATAGGGAAGGAATGTCCTTATTGCTGCAAAAGAAGGGAGGGAAGCAGAATTCTCTCCCAGGCTGATTTGGAGATTCCCTTCACAGTAGTTCATCTGTAGAAGTCACAGTTCACCTCACAGGCTCAGCTCAAGAGACAGATAGCAAGTAACAAGATGGCATAGATGAACCCCACCACTGTAACAACTTGATGGTCCCATTTGATGTTGTTCGACTCTGGGACATAGATGCAAAATGTTAAAAAAAAAAATCTCGGGCCTGATGAGACTCACTTTTCTTGTTCTTTGGCAAAACAAAGTAAACTTTGGTGGGATGTTTGCTTTTGGCAAATGCTATCATAAGTTACAAAAATTAAAAGACGTGCTTTTATTTTATCTTCTCAGGGTTAAAATATTTGCTCTATGTCTTGCTCCACAGTCATATGAGTTTGGGTGATAAGTCTAGTGTCACAGAAAGAGGTCATGGTGACACTGAGACTGGAAACATCATGCCAGTTCAATACTTTTTCATTCCTTTAGTTTGTATTTCCTATGGGTTTACATTTTGATCTGTGTATAATCAAATGACTTTAAATAAATATTATATAAAAATAAATTCATACAACTTAGATATAATTATTTTAATTATTGCTATGAGTAAATAATTCCCACAAGCTGATGCATGGCTTTCCCTCTGGGGTTTGTGCCCCCTTCATTCATTTTCCATGATAAGCACACATGGAGTCAAATTAGCGATCATCTGTTAGCATTCCATTTTCCACTGAAGGAAAGGGGAATCTGATTTCCCCAGGTTCTCAGTGGGATAATGGCAAACAAGTTCTTTTTTTTTTATTTATTTTTAATTGGAAAAAAAAAATTCTGCCTCCTCCCAGCCTCCCATTTCCCTCCCCTCCTCCCACTCCTCTCCCCCTCCCTCTCCAATCCAAAGAGCAGTCAGGGTTCCTTGCCCTGTGGAAAGTCCAAAGGACTCTCCCCTCCAGGTCTAGGAAGGTGAACATCCAAACTGGCTAGGCTCCCACAAAGCCAGAACATGAAGTAGGATCAAAACCCAGTGCCATTGTCCTTGGCTTCTCATCAGCCCTCATTGTCTGCCATGTTCAAAGAGTCCGGTTTTATCCCATGCTTTTTCAGTCACAGTCCAGCTGGCCTTGGTGAGCTCCCAATAGATCAGCCCCACTGTCTCAGTGGGTGGGTGCACCCTTCGCGGTCCTGACTTCCTTGCTCATGTTCTCCCTCCTTCTGCTCCTCATTTGGACCTTGGGAGCTCAGGCCGGTGCTCCAGTGTGGGTCTCTGTCTCTATCTCCATCCATCGCCAGATGAAGGTTCTATGGTGATATCCAAGATATTCATCAGTATGGCTATAGGCTAGGGTCATTTCTGGTTCCCTCTCCTCAGCTGCCCAAGGAACTAACTGGGGACATCGCCCTGGGCCCCTGGGAGCAAACAAGTTCTTGAACATACATGATTTGACTCAATACAAAAACTCAATACATATATCCTATAGAATAAAATGACCTTTAATTACTAGATGTGTTTCCTCACAGACTCATTCACTCAAGAGACACTAAACAAATGCTTAGCATGACAGGCACAACACAGGACAATCAATGGTCCAATGAGTCCTACGGATTCTGCTAATCAATTGTGATATCATATGAAATCTAGATGGATGGACAGCTCTGGGCCTAGCCTTTGATAGAATGATGTCACCAGTTCTGCTGTGCCTACAAGGAATGTTTAACAATCGTCTAGAGAAGTAAAGGTATGGACATTTTAAATCAGTTTAGATGACATCAAAACAGGATGAGGACAGTGAAGAAGGTGGCTCCTTGTTGAGCATGTGGGGACTCTACTTCCTTCCACCTCATAGTCTCTTAGCTTCCTCTATAGTAGTTCACAGAACTATTACAGGAATATTATATAAATAAGAGAAAGTCTTGTAAGGCTGAAGTGGGCTGTGGTATGCAACTTAGATATTAGCATTTACTTCAAGCTATCTGTAACAATGGGACCCCAACATACAATGATCCTGAATATGCCTCTTATGATCGTTGTATGTATAAAATTACTCAATATATTCCAAGTCACTGTTAGGATGTCTTCTATGAGTTGAAGCTCATTCCATTTTCTTTCTTTTCCTTCTATTCATTTTTAAATATTATCAGAGCAGACTCCTGAGAACCCAGGTCGATCTTTGCACATTAGCCAGGATTCTGTGACATGAATGCTGCATGAGCCCATCAGCACTGCCTCTGGGTTCTGAACCTCCATCTTTTTGTTGCTTCTATTGTCAGAGCCCTCTTCTAAATCACATTCTAATATTTAAATAAACAGTTATTTTGCTATTGCTTCTGTTATCATAGCTATTTATACAAAAAAGCCAGCAACAGATATTTTCAATTACTATGAATTCCATGCATGCAGGCCATCGAGGTTGTTCAGTGGGTTAGGGCACTTCCTGAAATACTTGGTAATCTGAATTTGATCACCTGGACAAATATGGTAAGAGGAGAGAACAGACTCTCCAAAGATGTCCACTGACACACACACACACACACAAAACCAATGAATAAAATGATGTAAAAATATTTCTTCCTTATTCTATGCTACCTACTCTGTGCATACTACAAGGTATGCTCACACAGTGAGTCACAAGGTGACATACACTGTTTCTGCCTGTTCTGACTGCAGAATGCCAGAGTTAGAGAATTTGCTTATTTACTGAAATCTATGTACTAATATATTCATACAGAGATACACACTATAACATCATCCACTCATTGATTCATATTAATGCATCTGTATGGTAAATCTCGTTCTTGAAGTTGATTTGAGTTTAGGACAGTTCAAAGAAAAGAAAATCAAGACCATTTATACAAACCAAGGTGTATCATTTACAGGGAAATAAAGACCTATCATCATGATTACCATTTGCTACACATATGTCTGCCATCCCTGGACACAGAGTTATGAGCACATTTGCCTCTAACTATTGAAATATGTTTCAGCTTGTGAAGAAGTATGGGGATGTTATGAGTCTGGATTTTGGGATCATGTCTTCAGTGATTGTAAGCAGTCTGCCTTTAATCAAAGAAGCCTTTACTCAACTGGAAGAAAACTTTATGAGTCGCCCTAAATTTCCTATGCAAAGACATGTCTTTAACGAAAATGGTAAGATTTTCATGTGTTGTTAGATATGCACTGTAATTTTTTTCCTTCAAAAATTTACACTTCCTCCCCTCCTCCCATTCACATCCTGTTCCCCCACTGACCTTCCTCACTCCCCTTCCCTCCTTAAGAGAGGGCAGGGAATCCTGCCCTGTAGGAAGTCCAAGGCCCTCTGCCCTACATCCAGGCCTAGGAAGCTTTGCATCCCAAGATTAGGATTCCTAAATGCCAGTACATGCAGTACAAATAAGTCCCAGTGCCTTTATCAGTGGCTTCTCAGTCAGCCCCCATTGTCAGCCACATTCAGAGCATTCTGTTTCATCACATGTTCATTCAGTCGTGGTCCAACTGGATTAGGTGGGATCCCATTAAAACAGGCACACTGTCTCAGTGGGTGGACCAATCCCTCGCGGTCTAGACTTACTTGCTCATCTTCTCCCTCCATCTGCTCTTCAACTGAACCTTGGGAGCTCAGTTCATTGCTTTGATGAGGGTCTCTAACTCTATCTACATCCATAGCCAGATGAGGATTCTATGGTGATATTTGAGATAAACATTAGTGTGATAATAGGGCAAGGCCAGTTCAGGCACCCTCTGCTCTGCCGCCAAAGGACATAGCTGGGGACATCCCCACAGTGTTTCCTTTCTACTTCATCTTGCTTATATCTGCTTATACTGTATCATTAAAGTCATGAGGATCTCTAGGCTCCTAGCCAACATTACAATTTGTTAGTATGAATACCTTATATTATTGTCAAATAAAGTCATAAGTTGAACACAGAATTTGAAATCTGTTAATCCAACAAAACAGCATTTTAGGCCCTTTCTAATTACTGTTTGGAATAATTCTAGATCAATTCACTGTGTTGTCTGTTGTAAGAAGCAGAGTGCTAGACATCTGTCTTAGAATTACTTTACTGTGATGAAATACCCTTATCAGAGACACTTGGGGATGAGAGGGTTTATTCGGCTTATGTGTTCATATACACTATTCATTCCAAATGAAATCAGGACAGAAACTTGGGGCAAGGACCCCGAAACAGGAGCTGGCATAGAGGCCATGGAGGAGTACTGCTTTCTGTCTTGCTCCTCATGCTTTATTCAGCCTGCTTTCCTAAAGAAAACAGGAACACCACCCAGGGTTAGCAGCATCCACGTGGGATAGACCCTTGCACACCAAATATTTATTAAGAAAATGTCCTAAAGCCTTGCCTACAGCCCTATCTTATGTAGGCATTTTCTCAATAGAGGCTCCCCCCCCCCCCCCGTAGAACAATTTTAGCTTATGTCACATTGATATAAAGGCAGTCAGTACAGTAAAAGTTAATACCAGGGATTAAATAGTAAAGCAGTATCAATGCAGAAGGTGTTTAATCAAAGATTTCTAACATTGTGTGAGGATTCTGGAAAATCTTCTCTGAGTAAATGATATTCATTTAATGACCTGAAAGAATAATTAGTCAAGGGAATTTAATATCCTTGAAAGGATGAAAAGGAGAGATGTCTTGAGGAATGGAAAGACATCCAGTGTTGCAAGCATGGTATTTAAAGGACATAATTAAGTTCTCTTGATACTTCTGAGCTACATCAGAAAGAGCACAAGCAGTGTTTGCTAAATGTTGATTTTTATTCTAACAGCCCGGAAGACTTCTCAGTGGTTTCAAGCAGAGGAGTTCTTAGGATATCAGGTAGAGAGAAGAGGAAAGACATTAAGAAACTTGTTTTAGATATGAAGGGTGGAAGCTTACACTCTCCAGTTGCTAAACTAAACTGTGAATTAGACCAGGGTGATGGCATTGAAGCCTTATAAACACATGTCCAGGAATGCCAAGAGGATGCCAAAATGACTCCATGATCTAGATGCCAGGAAATCAGGATACTGAGATACTCCACCAGAAGTTTGATGGCTAACCTTGGTTGTCAACTTATCTGCATTTGGAACCAACTAAAATCCTCAAAACTGGGTAAACAAATGAGGAGTCTTGCCTCTTTGGAATTTTTGAGGTGAGAAGACCTATCCTAAATATGCATCATTGGAGATCAGAAGACCCACCCTAAATTTGGGCCACACCTTCTGGTTGCAGCCCATATAAAAGGATATGGAAAAAGGAAACTTTTGCCTTTTGTTTTCTTGCCCATCTTCTCACTGGCAAGTTCAGCTATCCTGCTGATGAAAAATTCCTTCACTGGCATGAGAATCTACTTTTCTAGGATTCCAGTGTATCCAGAAAGCTAGCTGAGACATCCAGCCTCATACATGAAACAATCATAGCATTATTGGCCTTTCCATTAAGAGTCAGCCATTTTTAGACTAGCTTATTCAAACTCCAATAAATACTGCTTTAATATCTCTAGATCCATTCTATCACTTCTAGTCCTTAAGAGCAGTGGGACAACACCCTCTTGGGGGTTAAACGACCCATTCACAGGGGTCACTAAGACTGTTGGAAATATCAGATACTCACAGTATGATTCATAACAGTATCCAAACTATTGTTGTGAACTAGCAAAAAAAAAAAAAAAACAAAAGTACATGACAACACAAGGAACTGTATTAATCGTTGCAGCATCAGGAAGGTTGAGAACCACTGCTTTAGAGAACCAAAACTTGTACAGATTGTGGTACCGGTAATGGTTTCAGGCATTTTGCTTGACATAGATGACAAGGCATATATATGCATATTAAACACAAAGTGTAGATGGTTTGGTTCTGGGGATAATTAGATTCGATCACCTCATTAATACCTAGTTATCATGTTCCTTAAAATTTTACTTTACCCTTGCATCTCATTTTTCTATCCATTGTAATAAATCTGAAGTCTTCTGGTAATTACTTTTGGGTTTTTCTAAGAGTATTAAAATTAAAGAATATATTAAAATTACTTACTAAACAGCGACGTTGTAAGCCACCAGATGCTAGCCACTATGCTCCTTGCATTGTGCTATTGTCTCTAGACAGCTGTCAAGTCTGTTATTGGCCCTTCTTCTTTACATCATACATGTGACCATCCATTTGTCAGATAGTTTTAAATCAGAATCACAATGCTATAACGCTGTATTGCTTCTTTCCAGGACTGATCTTCTCCAGTGGGCAGACATGGAAGGAGCAAAGAAGGTTCGCTCTGATGACTCTGAGGAACTTTGGGTTGGGAAAGAAGAGCTTAGAGCAGCGCATGCAGGAGGAAGCTCAGCACCTTGTAGGGGTCATAAAAGAGGAGGAAGGTGGGCATTCCACAGGGCAGGAGTGGGAGGCTGTGGCCCTTTTATTCATTGAACAGAATCCACCTAAGTATCTAAGTGCTTGTCCTGGACTGTGCACTGTGCTGAGCACTGAGCATTGAACAGTGAACATGTAGCCATGACCTTGCCCCAGAGTTTGCAGCTAATCACACAAATGGTCATTAGATTCGCTGCTGCCTTAAGGCCTGGTTGTTAGTCTGGTTTTCCAGATATAATCAGATTCTTTAGTGTATGTTAAACCTCATATCAAGCTAATCCAGAGCCTCTTACATAGCTCTCTGTTATGTATGTTTCTCTGTCATGTGGAATTAGAAAACCAATATCTTCAAAAGATGCATCTTTTTTCTTGATCTACCTCCAGGACAGCCTTTCAACCCTCACTTCAAGATCAACAATGCTGTTTCCAATATCATTTGCTCCATCACCTTTGGGGAGCGTTTTGAGTACAATGACAGTCAGTTTCAGGAGCTGCTGAGGTTACTGGATAAGGCTGCGATTTTGACTTCCTCAAAGATGGTCCGGGTAAGCACTCTAGTTTCTTTTTTTGGGGTGGGGGGGGAAGAAAATTGGACTAGGGCTAATTCGAGTACAAATAGGTTCTTTCTTTTGATTTCCAGGAATATTTGAAGCTAAAATATGTCTTTGAGTTGAGTTTGTTACTAATTTATGTCTTGATTTGGATGTTTTCAATAAGAAAACTTACTGTGTACAAAAAATGTTTCTAATATTTGAATGAAGTACCAACATTTATGTGGGATCTATGCTTGCCCAAATGCTGCTCTTTTTAAAGGAATGGAGATATTTATTGTTGATTTTGCCTTTATGTCTCCCATGTGTTTTCATATCTCACATGCAAACTACAGGCATACTTTCTAGCTATCCTCCTCTGTACATGTTTCTCTTTAACTTGTCATTGTTCTTTAGTCGTTTCTCGGTGGTTAGACATCCGGTTGTTTCTAAGTTAGTTAGTATTAATAACACTGTTGTGAATATTTTAATTGTTCATGCTGCCACATCCACTCACTTTTCTTGTGTTTTCACTAAGACATAAACCTTTACCCCCATATTGTTAGGTGGTCTGTCCCTGTGCTCATTCCTGTACAAATGTCCCTCTTAGACTTCTCTTAGATGTCTCAGAAATGCTCTGATAGGTTGCGCTTTCATCTTTATTTGGTTCTAGAGTCTTGACAATTTTCTCAATGTTTTTTCAATGAGCTGCTGTTAGTCTCTTTGTATTTTTATAGTTTTTGTAGTGTTCCTTGCTATTTTTTGTTTTGTTACACTGTGGTATATTTAGATATGGAAGATTATTTCATTCTTGTGTATTTGCTAAGACATGGTTATTTATTTTAGAGAAAATTCCAAGTGCAGCTAAGAAGAAAATATTTTTGGTTTCATTTGGATGAAATGCTCTTAAGATGTCTGTTAAGTCCATTTTATTTATGGTACAGTTGAGCTCTGAAGCTTCTCTGTTGGTTTTTGCTTGGGATTGCCTATGCTGGAATGGTAGTGGAGTACTCACATTGCCATGATTATTTCATGAGACTCTGTGTAAACTTTATATTCATTGTTAATTGTTTTATGGAATTTGGAGTCCCAAATTATGATGCATGCTTATTTACAATTGTTCTAACTAATGAATTCCTTTTATGAATGTGTTATGGCCTTCTTTATCTCCTCTAGCTAATTTTGAATAACTTGTTTCTAGTTTCTGTTTGCTTGCTGGATTTACTAAGGTATTATGGAGAGAGGTTAAGTAGTCATGGTAATTATGTCAGTGGTTTGTTTGTTTTGTTTTGTTTTTCTGGTTGCTTGGATTCCTTGGTTTTTACTTTACTTCGATTACTAATAAGGATTTGCTTGTTTACTGTGCTAGACATGATGGATTCCTTCCTGGCCCTTCTTTATCCAGCTGTTCTCATACCATTTATTCTTCCCTGTGCTCTCATGATTGAGATTCATCTTTCTTCCTTCTCTGTGTTCAGCTCTCACTTAAGTATCTTCTTCAGGGCTCTCTTGATGGTCATTTCAGTCACTGCATGTCAGTGGGAATATTTCCATTAGAAATTAATTATTTAAATTTAACTACTGTCCATATTGTAATGTGTACATGTCGGTGTGGATATTGGGCTTGTGCAAACAGCACCTTTACTAACTGAACCATCTCCTGGGATAAACCACTTACAACATTAAATATTGCTTCTTTGATTTATGGTTTTGATTTACTATGTTGTTTCTATTTAGTCATGTTTAATTGAGGATCTAAATAACTCTTGCATTTGAATGTCTTTTTGCTTTTCTAACTTTGGAAACTTTCTGTTATAATTTCATTTCATTTGTTTTCCCTCCCTTTACTTTTAGTTCAGCTTCTGAAATAAAATCCTGCACATGTCTAGGTCTCTTGATTATATCACAGTTCTTCATTCTGCCTGTGGTCATAATTTCCATTTTTTGTTGTTTATCTTGGAGTGCAGCTTCTCATCAGCAATTCTCCCTTCTGGATCTTCTCTGTGGTGGAGACTGTTGGTGTTTTCTGCTTTGGTTTTTTATTTGTCTTCTTTTGATTTGTCTTGTTTTGCTCATGGTTCAGCTTGAAAATGTCCAACACTTTTATTTCTTGTTTGTTTTGATAAAATCTCAGTTCCCTTGCTGAAGTTTTTTCTGTTCTGCCCAATTTTTATCTTTATGCTGGTTCTCTCCTATTTCCCCTGTTTCCTCCGCTCGGCTGACTTTCACCTCTAGAGCCCACACTGGACTCCTTTGCTTCTTTGTATCTCCTTTCAATCTCTCATCATCTTGATCAGAAAATGCTTTAACACCCAACATTTGACATATTCCAGGATCTTGGGAGGCATCAAAAATATACACTATCTTGAAACAGAAAGTGACTTTATATTGTCTCCATGATCTTCTCCCTAATTAGCTCTATAACATCTTCCCGTGGATAATGAAACATCTTCCTGGATCACACCAAACAACACTGGCTACCTGGAGACAACTGAAATCATATATTTCTGATATAGTTGAAAATCACCGCAGAGACTGGAACCCTGATGAGCCAAGAGACTTCATTGATGCTTTTCTCACGGAAATGACAAAGGTGGGGAAGACAGTCTCTGTGTCTTCTTACAGAAAGGGTGGGGTAAAATAGCTTCCAATTGATTGAGCAGCAAGCTAGCACAAAGGTAGGGATTTGGCATAGCAGAGATTTATTCTCTCATAGTTCTAGATTGGTCCTGTAATCCTGCCAGACAGACAGCCGACTTTGGGAAACAATAGAAATGACATTGTCTTGTTTCTCCCATCTCCTAGGGGACATTGCTACTTGTTTCTGTGGTTCCCAGCTTCATCTTCAGTGCCAAGATTATATCACTTTTTCCTTTCTGATCCTTTTACATCTCATTTCTCCTGTTCTAACCATGGAGGCCCCTCTCATAAAGATAACTCAGGATAACCTTTCCTCATGAAATGGATCATATCCTGAAGATCTATTTTTGTGCATTGAGTAACATGCCATGGTGGCAAAGATGACAAGATGAACATATCTGTAGAGATTTTGAAGTATAACACAGGAGTAATATTTTATAAATACATGATAACATAACTTTGTTTGTTGGGGTCTTTAGAAATAAAGGGTTGGCTACCATTTGGCTAGAGGTTCTGGAAATGCCCAGATTCTTCCTTATTTTTTCCTTCTTTGGTCCTTCTCCCATATCTGAAGGAGATAGATGCAAAAATATAAGTAGCAGTTAAATTTCAGAGCTTTATTTTGTTATGAGTTGGTCCAGTGCTGGTTACCCTTCCCAACTCAAACCCCACTGCAACAGACAAACTTCAGCTATGTAAGTGGTAGCATTTATAATTCATATAGAGCTGAGGCTTTCCCTGGACTCCATATGAACACTATTCAATAATAGACCAAGGCAAGAAGACGCTGAGCAAACATATTAGTGAGCTGTGGATTAGTGTGACAACATTATATGGGAGCAACAACTGAATAAAGAAACATGTCATCTGGCCAAGCTTCAGAACATTTCAGTTCATCAAGGTGAATGGCAAAGCAGCTAAGCTCTTGGGGCAAAGGGCTATGGTGGAGGTTTTCACATCACAGTGCTTTAGGAAACACAAAACAAGAAAGGAACCATGGGTTTGGTGTAACGCTAGGTGTTACCCACTCCTCCCTTCAGGTAGATGTTATCTTTCTATTTTTAAGAACTTCCCCAAATACTACCAGTGCAAGGAACCAGTATTTAAAACATGAACCTCTGGGGAAGCATGTTGGATTCAAACCATACTGAAAAATGTAAGGTCTTGATCCTCTTGGTCTGAACAGGCCTCTGGGAAATACTTATCACTAAATCTGTCATAGAAGCTTCAACTTACTTGATCATGGGTTCCTCTTCTGCCTGGGTCACAATGGTAAATGTGTATGTGTGTGTTTATTAGCTTTTCTCTTATTTCAACTTCCTGATATAATTGATTTAAAAAATTTAAGCCCAGAGGAGGAGGCAAATACTTTACCATATGAAGTACAGGCTTGAGAACAACATTATTTAGAGCAGTATTAACAAACTGATACTTCTAGAGGAAGTGAGAAAGGTGATGTTTTGTCATAAAGAACTATTGATGGAATCAGTGCGGTTTTGACCTTGCAAGATGATGCAGATTGGAGAATCAGTGAACACAGAAAATGGATATTCATTTTTCTGGTACCAGCGAAGCCAACTGTTGAATATCAAGATAGCATCACTCTGAATGATTTAATGCAATTCATTCTCAGTGGATCAGTGTTATGAGACAATCAAAAGTTCTCTGATTGAACACATACACACTGTCTTTTCTAGCACCCTGACAAAACTATTACAAGTTTCAATGAAGAAAGCCTCATCTGCAGCACTCTGGACCTCTTCCTTGCTGGAACAGAGACAACATCCACGACCCTGCGCTGGGCTCTGCTCTACATGGCTCTCTACCCAGAAGTCCAAAGTGAGTTGTGGTGACAGCACCTAACCAAGGCAGAACGGGTTCAGAAGATAGGATGGGGGAATGGAAAGTCGCATGCATGAGGCGATGTGAGACTCTGAAGGTAGACAAAAACCAAAGTGTACTGGTAATAAACTATCCAGTAAAAAAAGTATTTATTTATAGAAGTCTGAATAGACACTGATATGAGCTTAGCCATAGACATACTGATTACCTCTTCAGGATATGGAAACTCATACCTATGCTGTAGGTTTGAATAAAGTTATAGAGTTTACACTTTTCTAAATCAGATTTTCTAGGGGGTAGAGAACTTTATTTCCTCAAAATCATGAGATTAGATGAGATAAAAAGCATATACATTTTGAAAGACAGCTTTCTATATCTTTAGAAGAAAACATTAAACTTTAAAACTTAATGGAGCCTCCCGTTTCCTTGAAGAAAAAGTTCAGGCTGAAATTGACAAAGTGATTGGCCCGAAGAAGCAGCCCAGCCTGAATGACCGAGACTCCATGCCCTACACCAATGCTGTTGTCCATGAAGTACAGAGGATGGGAAATATCATCCCTCTAAATGTTCCCAGGGAAGTGACAGTTGACACCACGCTGGCTGGATTTCATCTTCCGAAGGTAAGTAGGCTAAGAAATGGAAGTTTGCTAATCATCAACCCTCTGTGTGTCTAGTCCATATGTTACTTGAGTCTTTGCTGCCTTCCCTAGGGCTCCATACTTCATACCAATTTGACTGCACTGCACATGGACCCCAACGAATGGGCCACCCCAGATATCTTCAATCCGGAGCACTTTTTGGAGAATGGAGAGTTTAAGAAGAGAGAATCTTTTTTTCCTTTCTCAATGGGTGAGTTGTGATGAGCAGGAGGGGGTTCAGAGCTCTACCTTATCCCTTCTCTTCTTTCTGGAATCGGTACAGATGCGCCTTTCCATGTACCTCCGTTTTGCAGATGGTTTCAGTCAGTACCCACATACACACACATACAGTGTCAATCCGTCCTTGTTTCTGATGGACATTTGAACTTCCTTTGTTCTGTTCTCTACCTCAATGACAACACAGTCCTACTCCATGCCTTTTTGAGACCAACAAAGCTGAATTCCCGCCATTGTGTAGACATTTTGAGTTCTTTTTAAGGGATGGCTTCTTACAATGAAGAGAGTTGAGTTTGGGTGTTTTTAGTTGTTAGATAGTTTTAACTGGCATTTGCTTAATGTGAATAGGCTTCTAGCCCATGAACAATCCCTGAATAGGTCTTATTTTTCTAAATTGGACCCAAGTTGTTAAATGTCCTTAGTACATGTTTCTGCTGCACCTGACACGCAGGAAAGGAAGTGCAGTGATGACTCTTTCTCCCTTGTGCTTTCTGCCAGGCAAGTGATTAAAGACTTCAGTGGCAGTAGTGTGGAATCAATAACCAAATGTTCTGGCATATTATAGATATTGATATTATAGATATTGACTTCTATATGTAATTTGGCCACTCTTTAGTTTCATATCTGTGTTCTAACCTTTAACCAACAAAAACAAGCAACCTGAGAGCAGGAAAGTGTGGGACAGAAGATGAAGCAGAGCTTCCCCTTGAAGGATGCATCCCACTGCAGCCTTCCAAGCTGGAATCAGTGAGCACTGCAGAGAAAAAGATGCAGACCTAGACAAATGTGGTTCTCCCAGAGTTCAGTGTCCACCAGGTTTTCTCACACAGAAGCTTGTGTTTCCTAACACTGTCTGTAGAAGGTGACTAAATGCTGCAATAAGGCACACTGAAATGCTTGATATGATCATTAAGTTTGCCTGATTATCTAAGGCAGTGTCACATCTCATGATGCGGAGGCTTGAACCAGGAGGAGACTGCATTTGCCTGCACAGCTAGTGTTGATCCAGAGCTGGTGTTTCTTGGGGCTGGGCTGCCCTGGGTTTGTTCTGACCTCTTTGTCTTTCCATCTGGGACTGTCTGTCGCTTTGCTCACTGTTCATAACTCATTTTAATAGGAAATCTGATAAGACTCTGTCCAGTCTTCCTGTTTATAAAACATTATAAAGAATTGAATACTTCACTTATTCTACTCTTCTAAGTTAACTCTCTCACACATTCAGATATGTCTCTCACATTTCTCTCCTGCTCCCCTTACAGCAAACCCTCTGGACAAATATGAGTCACATTTTCAGGGTTACACAGCACTTCATGAGTAAGCAATAAAAAACAGAGCCATACTGATCATGCAGTTTCTCTCAGGCTATGAAGGTCATTCTGACTGTGCATGGTGAGTAAAGTAAGCTCTGAGTAGTCAGGGTTCCCAGACAGAAAAGGACATTGAAATTCAGCCTTTAAAAAAAAAAAACAGTTGCTTTAACCTTGAGGTAGAAAATACAGAGAGAAGTCCCTTGCTGAGAAAATTCTCTCTCTAATGTTGTTTCATGCCTGATTTTGAACCAGCAATAAACACCTGGGAAATTGCCCTTGCATATTTGTCTCTAGGGGCTACCAGATATTGATATCCAGAAACAACCAGATTGTTTTCAATATGTCCTGAAGTTTAAAATTAGCTGTTGTTAAGACTGAGGACACTATTACACTCCTATGTCAGTCTGAGTAATGAGAAGTATCCTATATGCCCAGTAGATGGAATATTTTCATGAGATAAACATACAATCAGTGGGGAAAATACCCATAGCTGACACATGAGAAAAACTAAAGACAAATACAACCAGTCATCTACAGCCAGTGACCTCATAGTCTTTTCCAAGTGGGACTTCCCATCAGAGAGTTATTAGGTCAATCTGTTAAATACGAGCTGTCATCATCTGCGATATGATTATCATCGCCTGTGACACCTCTCATTGCTATTGTCCCACTGAAGACCTTTGATCCTGGAGTTCCAATTTCAGTGGAACATTCCACATTCAGACACATATGAGACATAAACTGCTGGACACAAAGCCCTGTGACAGTTCAAGATTTACAGAAGGAAAATGGAAATGCCAGTCCCTGAAGGTACTAATGCCAACTAAGAAAGTATCTCGTCTTCTGTTTCATTTCCTGCAGGAAAGCGAGCTTGCCTCGGAGAACAATTGGCCAGGTCTGAGCTCTTTATTTTCTTCACTGCTCTTGTGCAAAATTTTACTTTCAAGCCACCAGTCAATGAGAAGCTGAGCCTGAAGTCTAGATTTGGCATCACCGTTTCCCCAGCCAGCCACCATCTCTGTGCTGTCCCTAGACTGTGAAGTCAGAGACAGAAAGAGAAAGGAGAACAGGAACTACCTAGCAATCCTCTGAGCCACTGGGGATGCTCATATGTGAAGGGAGAGAAGGAAGGTAAACAGGAAAGGATGGGAAGATTAGGCTACGGTTATTGGATCAATGTCCTGAACTGCTGTGTCCTGTAAATTGGTGGTGGATATGTCACTTATATATCTTTTCATCTAAGAGTTGCAAAGAGAATGATAGTTCCTCCTGTAAAGAAAGTGTTGTAAATATGAAAGGTGGGATAGAGACTGCATGGAAATCATTAAAGTCATATCATAAATTGTACCTTCAGTTTGCTTCCTGCCTCCTTCATAAATGTGCATTGGCTTCTAGATGTTGAATTGTTTCTTGTGAAACTGTTACAGAGATCTTTTCTCCATCTCATAGCCTGTGGAGGCTTGCTGAGAACAGAACTTATATACACTTCTTTCTGGAAAGGTGCGCTTTGAGGTCATTTTCTTAGCTGTCAGTAGACTCTCCAAAACTAAATAGAGTACAGGGTTCTCCTAAAAATTTAAGGTACCTAAGATGAGACTAAATTTTACTTAGGAAATAGACCTGCTTCTGTGCACAAAGTGGATGCATATTTCCCAAAATGATTCTTATTATACTCAAGTGCCCCCACAGTGCCAGTTTATGCCATTAAATTTATAGGCTGGCTTCGGTCTACAATCTGGAATATGTAATTTACCAGATATTGCTCCATGGAGTGGTGAGAGACATATGTTCTTGTTCATATGTTCACCCAGGCACACAGTTAATTTTTTTACTCAAAATAGAGCTGAAAATTACTTGTGAAATGAAGGGTATCAGGCAAAGGCACACTGAAAAACCTCTGTTCTGCACTGGGGATGGATTCTTAAAAGAAATCCGATACTAGCTCAGAACGTGAAATAGATGGTTCTTTATTTAGGGGTAGACTCACAAATCAGAATCCTCTGTTGAACAGGGATCAGAAAACTAATCCCGTAACCAGAACAAAAAGGCTGGAAAAGGGTCTGGATGTGTGCTCTACATTGGCATATATAGTATACGAGGCCATGCCCCAGTGGGCCTGTAACCACTAGCTGTAAGACTTCTTATAGCACCTCCCCATTTTGTTTAAATAATAGAGTTCTAAGTTTAATATAAAATTATATACAATAAGAACAAATATATTCAATAATTATCCTATCCTAACTATTTTAAATCTTGTATAATAAATTAATTGGCCACGTCATGAGAGGAAAGAAACTACAGCTATCTAGTCTTCAATCCCATCAAAGATCTGAGAAGGGAAATGATATTACTTGAGTAAGCAGGAAGCATGATCAAATAACTTCCAAAAATGTGCAACAAATGACAGAGACAACAGGCTACCTGAGCAATCACCCATAGTCTCATTTGCAGCGTTGAAGCAACCAACTTTGGCTAAGGCCTAGAATCACTGGCATACCATTTTCAGAGGAAAGAAATTTTTCAAAACTGTATTATCCTGTCTTGGCAAGATTTGACAATCCTGCTTATCCATTTCCGGATATCATGTATCTTGTCAGTGATTTAGGTATGGGCATTTCTTTGCCCAAAGGCCAGCTTTGCCAAGAAAACAAACTCCAAGTGGATTGTCATTGGTGCTCAACATTCTCTCAGGAGTATATCGGTGCTGCCAGGAGCAATTGTGTCTCACGTCAACAGAACCCTAAGTTAGTTAAAGGCCATATTCTACAGCTCTTTGAAGTAGTTGAAGATTACCTATCTATGCAGAATATAATCTCTATATTATAAGAACCTGATTAGTCTAACTATAAGTATGGCAAACATAGATGACTATTGATCTATAATCCTTAATACCTATATAACTTAAAGACTAAGACTTCATATTAGAATATTATAAACAATTGTGTAACAAATGAGAACAAGGACCTCAAAATGTAAACAATGTATAAGTATCTTGATCAGAGGTAGAAATGTACATTGCAATATGATAAATATATATCAATCTAAAAAATGTTTTAAGCAGAGGTAGAAGCATGCATGCATACAATATTCAATGTAATTTAACTTTGTATCAATATACAAGAATCTATACCAATATAATTGCCTTAAATAATTACTCACAAGTATTCACTTTATTACTCATTATTATTATTATTATTATTATTATTATTATTATTATTAGTGTGAGTAAGCTCATGTTAATCTATTATGCCACACAATTCCCCCTTGTGTTTCAAAGAGAACTCTGAGCCTATGAAACTCCCCCCAACCCCAACCCTATACCAATTATAATCAACCCCTAACTGATGTTCCTAACTTTGCTGGGAGAGGGAATGTGGTCTTCTAGAATTACATCCAGCTGCCATGGGGGGAATGTTCTTTTTATGAGATCCTGAGAAATTAAAATGATGGTTAAGTTCCAAGATTACTGTCTTCTATGATTGCAAATAGTCTCTGAGTATTTGGTATGGTTTTTATGAGCTTCCTATTTGGAGGTCTGGCCAGAACGTGGGGAAAAAAAGTGCACCATTTCAGCTAACCAAGTTGGAACTATCTTGAGCAGCTGGGACCCAAAACAGGTCTTGTAGTAGTGCTATCTGCCTCATGATGTCATATCAACCAGGTGGAGTCGTTTTTGTGAGGCCCATCTTCTTCCTGGAAGCTTCAAAGATCACTGCAGGATAATTCATTGTTCATTGTGAAAAAATAAAACATTATTTTATAGATAAATACAGACATATATATTCAATGAAAGGTACAATAGAAACAAAAATATATATGGAGAAAAGTAAAATTTTCTATCAATTCTTTTTTTATTTCTGTCTCATACCAAATGGCTCTTGACATGATTCAGAAACTCTTAATTTTTATTTTAACAACATGGTTGGATTTAGAGAGAGACCAGTGTTCAACTCAAAAGCCAACTCTATATATTCATGAATATATATACATATATATATATGTGTGTGTGTGTGTGTGTGTATGATTTAACATTTGTACTTATGAATCATATTTGATTTTCTTGATGATCCTTATTGGGTAATTATTTTTCCATCTGTTAGCATCCTTACCATCTGTGTGGTTGTCACCATTGTGGATGAGTTGTCATTTCTCTTTTTCAAGGGGTTTCTCCTTTTCAACGTGAATCTTTATTAATTTTGATGGTATCCATACTTCTTCTTCTCATGTGGAAACAAGAGCAAAACCCCTTCCCCAATGTAGCACATCTCCTGGCTTCCATTTGAGGTCAACACATCCTTCAAATAAACCAGTTGATTTGAATCAGAAGACTTTTCTATTATCCAATGTCTCTCTGCTGCTGTTGTCCCTTTCTTATTAGCTTTAAGAAAATTCAAGGTCAATAAAGCATTATGTAATCTATTTTGGGGGGTATTTTCCACTCCTTTCTGTTGGTTTAATATCCTTTATAGTTTGATTTGATCTTTCTATAACTGCTTGACCTGTAGGACTGTGTGGTAAACCTGTAATATGCTTAATATTATAATAAGCAAAAATATGTTTCATTTTTCTAGAGAGTATACTGAATCATTATCTGTCTTTATTTGTGCAATTTTCTTGCTGTTCTATTGCTGTAAGGAGACCTCACAACAGAAGCAACTCTTACAAAATAATGTATTGAGTTGGGACCTGGCTTACACTTTACAGGGTTAGCCCATGACCTACATATGTGGCTTGAGGAGAAGGTACTGGGGCCGCTTGAATGACAGGTATTTGTTCACACTGATACTCTAAGATTGTTAATAAAGATAAACTTGAATAAGGGAGCAGAGTTAGTGATTAGCTGACCAGAATTAGCCATAAAATTTTGGAGTACCCAGAATACATATAGAGAGACACAAGAAGAAATAGCGAAGGGCTTAGAATTGATTGATCACCTCCCCAGTGCTGGAACAGCAAGTGCTTGCTGCAACATCTGACATTTTTACATAGGTTTTACAAATGCAACTCAAGCCATAAATACTTGTAAAGAAATCAATGGATTGAATAAGTCATCACTCAAACATGGTTTATTTATTTATTTATACAAAACACACACAGACATGCAGGAGACAAATGTATATGTATATATATATGCATACTATACATATAGTATGTATATATATATGTTATACATTACATATGCATATACAGGTCCTAATTTAAAACACATTTCCAAAGCCGGGCGGTGGTGGCCCATACCTTTAATCCCAGCACTCGGGAGGCAGAGGCAGGCGGATCTCTGTGAGTTCGAGGCCAGCCTGGTCTAGAAGAGCTAGTTCCAGGACAGGAACCAAAAGCTATGGAGAAACCCTGTCTCAAAAATAAAAAAAAAAAAAAAACACATTTCCATAGAAAGGTCATTTTTTGAGGAAAGTTTAAAACCAATTGAGTTAAAGATTAGGATTGACTTCTAGAGCCAGCTCCAAAATAGCAACAGATTCAAAGAAGATGTTTAAAAAATTATTGTGTTTGTGTTTTTCAAATAACTTTGTGGTTCCTTATTTCCATAAATAAGTTCTGAGTCTATGTTATGTGTCTCTATTGAACTTTAGAGCAGGAAAGCATGGGACAGGAGATGAAGCAGAGCTGCCCCTATGAGCATGCATCCCACTGCAGACTTTCCAAGCTGCAGTCAGTGAGCACTGCAGAGAAAAGGACACAGACCGAGACAAATGTGCTTCTCCCGGAGGTCAGTGTCCACCAGGTTTCCTCACACTGAATCTGTTGTTTTCCTCACACTGTCTACACGAAGTGACTAACAGGTGCACAGAAGCCACGCTGGAATGCTTGACATGATCATCAATTTCCCTTGGTGATCTGAGACGATGTCACTTCCATGACACTGAGGCTCAGGAAGGGAGGAGCCTGAATTTGCCCTCATATGAGTGGTGATCCAGAGTCAGTGCTTCTTGAGACTGGGCTGCTCTGGGTACATCTGGCAGGGACCAGTTCTGACCTCTTTGTCTTTCCACCAGGGCTTGTGTGTCAAATTTATTCACTGTTCACAACTCACTTTAATAGGAAGATGTTAAGAAAGAGAGAGAGACTGTCCTGTCTTCTTGTTTATAAAAAACCTTGAAAATTTTTTAATTATAGCAAAAATTCTCAGCTAGATATGTTTTTTACTCTAATGATTCTTGGTTGCTGAATCCGGTCCTGAAAGCCTAGAAAGATGACCCTTGCTATGTTCCACATAAGGGCTCATGTGCTGTGTTGTTAGAGTGTGGAGAGAGGAACATGGGCAGATCCCGATGGCTTCCACAGGATGACGTTCCTCCACACCCACTTCTGCCCATGTACAAGCCTTC